AGAGAGAGAGAGAGAGAGAGAGAGAGAGAGAGAGAGAGAGAGAGAGAGACTGAGACTATGCATAAAGATACCCAGAGAGCTGAGGAAATGTCATATTAAGGCATCAAAAGAAATCAACCAAAAAGAGAACCACCATAAAAACATAAGTTTGCAGGTATAAAAACAATCATTTATAGATTGTTATTAGGGATTAGTTGTTAGGGCTAGTTTAGTAAATTAGAAGTTGCATATTATCTCCCTATAGCCACGATTTCACCAGTCTGAAAACTAGATTTCTAGAATCAAGAATGGTTTCCCTCCTGTTGAATTGGTCTTATATATAATTAGCTTTTTGTTTCCACCAAGATTTGTGTACTACTACTGTACTTTTAGGATTACTGTGTCATACTGATTATTGATGTGGTTCACTGGCATCATAGCTTGCTAGGACTGTTGATTACCTCCCTCTTTTAGAAATTTACATGGTGCCTGCCTTCTGGCACCATGAAAGTTAGTCCTCAGGGAAGGGATAGTCAAGTCAGTTCCAGCTTACAGACAAGTATAGTCCCATCAAGGAAACTTCCCTTTGCAACAGTCTCTGTCTACAGAAAACCATAATGACTCAAAATGCAGATTTGTAGAGCATAGTCTCAGTGGAAACATATACAAAACAAAACCATATAAGGCTCAGAGAATAGTGTGGAAGAGTGGGTAAAAAGATTGTAAAAAGCCACATAATCAAGGAGTTTGCTGTGAGCCTGTGTCATGTAGTAACATCAGAAGTTATATTCACAAAGTCTTACCAATATGATTGCCCAAACATGAACTGAATGAGGATGGTACCAATTGACATGCCAAACTGAATGAGGTAAAGCTTCAACCTTAAACAAAGAACTATAGGCAACTGGTGAAATCTGGGAATGGAGGAAGGTCTTTCCCAGAGAAAAGGCACACAAAATGGTTGCCCAGTGGCAAATGGTCAGCCCTGAAAACATACATACAAGTAACATTATATAGAATGAACAAGTTATATTTAGAAATATACTCACTATTAGTGAAAAAAGAGGCCATGAATTTGAAGGAGAACAAGGGTGGATATATGGAAGAGACTGGAGGGAGCAAAGAGGAGGGAGACATGTAATTATAATCTAAAAAAATTAAAAATATAAGTTTTCTGGCACTCATATTTTGTATTTTATGTTCTCTAAAATTACAAATAAAATTGTGTTGTTTAAATCACCGAATCTCAGGCACTTAATTATGTTGGACCAAACATACTAACATAAACCTTTTCTTAGATGGTAGAAAGCACAAGGGCATAAAAAAAAAAACAACAAAACTCTGTCCTCATAAATCAAATACCAATTTTTTTTTTGACAGCAAAATCCATGGTAGTCACAAAGGGAGTACAATAACAGAGAGCATTTATATGGATATCCTGACCAGTCAGTGACTAGGGATTACAAAGTGTTTTCTCAGAAGACACAGCCAGTGGGGAATCCCTAGTACTTGCTCTTGGAGGTTCTATTAAAAAAAAAGTTGCCATTTTTATTTTAAAATAATCTATACAGCTTGAATGCTGTAGCATTACTACGTAAAGGTGATAAGGCTTCAGTCCATTGACCAGCAGGACAGCACAGTGTGAAGAGTCAACACTAAACGCATCAGCCCAGGATAAACAGAAACCCCAGCTACTTTCTTCCTCTCTTGTCTCCTTGTAGCTCTTCCAACAGAGCTGAACACATTGGGAGAAATAATGGGTTTTTCACAGTCCTTTGTGGAATAAGATATAGATTTACTGTTTGTGATTTAAAGTGACAATGACACCCAGAGGATTTGGAGACCTCCAGGCAAAGGACACTTGCCACTGTCCTATTTATTCTCTAGGGGTTGGATATGGGTCTTTGGAAGGATAACAATTTTTAATAGAAAGACAAGAAATTTAAAAACAAAAGTAAGCTTCATCTATAGTATGACATAAATGAAAGAACATGGAACCTTTCTTATAATCACCCAGCAAGGAAAGCAAGAGATGAAGCCTTTAACTCAGTCTGACCACTTGTATCATCATAGTTTCCCAAGAACAGGTAGCAACAAGATAAAGGTTTGATTAGGGAATATTAAGGCCTTAAAAAATAGTATTCATAATACTATTCATAATAGTATTCATAGTATTCAATCATTCATAAACCACTTTAAGGTTAGAGGGCCTCTCATGGAGGGAGATTTTGTAATGCTAGAATATGAGATACATAAGGATTTATGAAGCTTTCTAAAGCTGAGCTCAGATATGCCAATCGTGTGAACACACCTGACATGTCTATTAGGAAGCAACCATCTCCACACAGAACCACAGGACAGTAAGAGTTGCAGTAACTCATTGTGATACTGTCAAGTCCTTATGGTTAAGCTCATAAATACATATTAAGCTTATAAAGAAACAGCCTAAAAGATCTATGGAAATAAATCGAGATAAAATATTTGACCATAATAGATAGAAAAGAAATAATGTAAGAAGTAATGCTGACTAATAGCATTTTCTATTATTACCAACATTGACTTACAGACCAAGAATATTATAATCCACTTAAAATGTCCTTATTATGTCATCAACAGTCCAAAGAAGACATGATATGTTTCAATAAAGATGTAAGCTAATATGAACAGAGACGTTAATAGGTAACTTTATCTTGAACCTAGAACTACTAAATAAATGAATTTGAGAATGAGACATAGAAATGATCACTGGATACATATATGAAATTCTCAAAGAATAGCTTATTAACTTTTAAAAAATTGCTTAGGATTAATTCTAGATTTTCATGCTCCCAGGATTGAGTCCTGTGGTGGATCATAAGAAGTAGCTTGAATGAATTAAAACATAAACAATTAAGTAATTTGTCCATTTATCAGATAGTTAAGAGAATGTTACCATGCTTGGGGAAAAATAAAATTAAAAAGGCCCACAGCAAAGTTAAAACATGGGTAATGAAGGTCATACAGTGCTTTACAAAATATATTGCCCCAAATATTACTTAACTCAAAGGAAATGAAACAAACGCCCAATGATTTCAATGAAGGATAACCATAAACATGCCTCTGTGTCCATTTGAGCTAAATGTAAGAAACATACACTCAAAAAGAAACTGTGATATATGGATAGAACCTTCAGCTACCAAGAGGCTGGTCTTGACAGAAAATTTAATTAAGAAAGATGTAAGATCAATAGAAAATAACAGAGCATGACAACATACATATATGATCGACAACATAGTGGGACAGATAACTGTAGTTAAGAGCACTTGCTGCTCTTCCATGGAACACACATGGAGCGGCTCAAAATTGCTGGTAGCTAGCTCCAGGGGATCTGATGAACTCTTCTGGCCTCTGCATGTACCTTCACACAAATTGCATACATTCACAAAAACAGGAGTGCATGCATGCGCACACATATGTGCACACACACATACTTTAATAAACATATTCTTTCTTCTGCTCATTTATGACCTTGCAATTTGGCAGCCAGATCCACTGATGAAGATGTATGACTGAGGCTATCCTCACCTATCTAATTCTGCATAATCCACTAGTGGACCATAGATGTGTGAGAAAACTTGGCAGGGGTTAATAGAACAGTATTAGCCCGAAAAACTAGCAATGTAACTGACAGAGAGCCCACAAAACAAAATTGTAGTTCTTTGAAGCCACTCTACTTTAGGGTGGTATATATATATAAGTCTGCTAAAATGAGGTTGACAGCAAAACACAAAAAACCTTTTAAGTGACAGTCAACATGAATAAAATGACTGATTAGTTCTAAGGCTTGAGAGGGTTTGTCCTCTCTACACCTAAAATGAAAAAACTAGAAACTTGGGAACTAAAAGACTGGACAGGCGTGTGTGTGTGTGTGTGTGTGTGTGTGTGTGTGTGTGTGTATGACGTAGTTGTGAGGACAGAGGAGTATGTGACTTGCCAAGGACACAGTATTTTCTAATCAAACCAAGATTACTAGTCACCTTCTCCAAACAGATACACAGACATGGTCACTTTAATTCTTATCTTTAGGCTCTTGGCCATTCCTGAAATTCTATGACTCTGTGACTTTATGGTTCTATAATTCTAAGCCAGAGTACAACAATGCCGGTGCTCTAGACAGCTTCAGTACAGGGAACGAACATGGTCTAAATGGGAGTACCAGCTATTTCCTCGTCTTCCACTTGAAAAAACCAACTGTACCATCATGGATTCAAAAAATGTGCACAGTCCCATGTTCCTGGTGCTTCCTCCAGAGATCATCACTCCAGAAAACCAAACAACAGCATTTACAGCCACAGCCTATGATCCCCAAAACCGAGTGCAGAAAATCCTTATTAGAAAATTGGCGATCTTAGGGGTAAGTAAACTGTCTCTCTATGTGTAATATCTGGTGGCACACAATGTCCAATAGGAATCAACTCCATATGTCATTGCCACTCAATTAAGGAAGTATGGATTGTGCTTCTACATGAATTATGAACAAGATTCTGTGAATAGGAAAATACAAGATGAATAATTCAATGTTCCTGAACTCTTAAAAATCACAGCCACAAAACTAATTATCTTTGAGAATTTTCTAATCAATCTCAGGGAGCAAAAGGAAGTAGACGTTAGGCCAGATTCCCTCTCTTAGGAAACTGCAACATACACTTTTACAGTTTCCCAAGCAGACCTCAGAACTCATAGTTTTACATAGTATTCAGATATATATGTTTATATATACATATAAGTATAAAGATCTTTAGAATAGCCTCTTTAATTTTTTAAATTAAAAACATAAGTATATCATCTCCCTCCAACCTCATTCATGGCCCCTGCCCTATTGCTCCCTCTCAAACTTGTGGTCTCTTTTTCTTTGTTATTGTTTACATATGTGTATAAATGCCTAAATATATAAATACAACTTTTTGAGTTTTATTAGTGTTGCTGACCAATTGTACTTGGATAATTGATTGGAGGTGGGGTTTTCACTAGAAAAGGTCAATTCTCCCTTTCTCAGAAAGCCTTAGTTGCCTGAAGTTCTTTGTCTAGGGTTAAATGGATCCTGGCAAACATTCATTTCTACATCCATCAACTTGTCATTCCACAAGAATTATTCCTATTTATCAAACCTTTCTTAAGATAAAGTTTAGGTAGAAAGTCATCAGATATGTTTGAGGTAGTAATATTACACATATCTTGGAGAATATTCTTCCATTTGAACACTAGCCTCTCATAATGGAAAATAGAACATAATCCTTTCCAGGACAGAAAAATAGAATAAAATAAAACCAGACAAAAAGAAAGATCATTCTGTGACACGTGGGGAAATGAAACTAATGTAATCTGCTTCAGCATCTCTTCAAATGTGATGGACTTCAAGCGTGAATGAAATAGTTTGCTTTAACAGAAACTGAAGTAGGTGCAAGCAACTATATTGGATGCTACTTTTACAGAAAAAAAAAACAAGCTAATTTTTCCTCACTTAGGAAAACAAAAGTTTCATGTGAAAATAATGAGACCATGAAAATATTAAGAATTCTATTTCAATGGAGTATCTAGAAGAATCATAAATGGTGACACCGGCATGGGAATACCTACTGATAGAACAGTTGCCCCAGTTAAAAGGAATGAACACATTCCACAATGAATTGGATATTTCATATGGACTCTGAAGAAATCATGGAATTTCAACAAGTAAAAATAAAATGAGGACACAGAAACAGAAAAGATGCAGTAAACTCTGGAAGCTAAAGAACAGGAGGCACAGGGAGGGGGCAGAGGAAGAGAGCTGGGTGGGGTCAATCTAGGCTTAAAAGATTTAAGAAGGCTAATAAAAGAATTAACCTGCTTGACAAATTAGTCAGGTCATACCAATACAATAGAATAGTGTTCTGTAGTACAAGAAATTAGCTAACAAGCCAAGAGGAAGCATGAAGAGTCTCATTTGCATATTGTTACATGAAAAAACTCAGTGAGTGCTCTAGGTGATGATGGGTGATGGAGGAATATCTCTACATAGCCACCAACATGTAGGAGAAATGTGAAAGCTATAAAAAAAAAAAAGCACCCTAGTGGTGTCTACAACAGAAAAATGGGATAAAAGTCAAATATGTAGTTTTTTAATTCTTCTGCCAGATTGCTGCTTATATTTTTATATGTATTTATTCATTTGTGTGTGTATACATGGTCATGCACATGCCATAGCACATATATGGAGACAGAGAAGAACTTGCAAGAGTCCATTCTCTCCTTCTACCAATGTGGGTTCCAGGGATTGAACTCAGACTGTCAGGCTCAGTGGCAAAAACCTTTACTTGCTGAGCCATCTTGCTGGCAGAAGTATGCATGATTCCATGAGTAGAGATAATATAAAAGTTAGCTACTCTGGGGTTGTTGCTATTAAGAAACTTGAAAAGAACAGATGACCAGAAGACCCTAAGGCCTAGAAAGATAACAGCATCAACAACAGAGAAAAAGAAGTCAGGAAATCAGGCTTAAAGGTAGAAAGCGAACCCATTTTTAAGACATCCAGAATATAAGCTTGTAGTCGTACATTCAAGAGAAATAGTCATGTTGATATGATGAAAATGCACACAATAGCTCTTAAGACTCAGCCACTCAATGTTAGTATAGTGTCAAAAGACCTCACCAAGTAAGTGTACAGAAAAGGTCACAGAAGACATGACCTCCAGCCATAAGCCTTCTGCTCTTTTTGTCATTCTTACCAGGCTTCTCTAGCACCCATCAACCCCCTGCCTACCATTAACAGGATGTGGAGAATGTTCCTCACAAGCACAGGAAAGGGAACGAACAGTCCATGAGGGATGCTCTGCGCTGGCAATGCAGCACTGCTTCCAAAGGCTCAGAGAAACATTCACATTCAAGAGTGTTATCTGTAATTTTAAAAACATACTACTTCCTTGCCCAGTGCTGCAGCCCGTACTCTGACCTCTCCGGGTCCCCCTTGCTCCAACTCAATTGCAACCATCCCCCCAATCCAGGAAATCTGAGAGCTGCTGTCTGCAATACAAAGGCCCCTCTCTACTAGCTTCTCCAAACCCCACCAGCTGTCGCACCATCTTCTCTCTTTCCCCTCTCCACCTCCTCCTTTCCTGCATCCCTTCGCTTCCTTTCAGGATCCAGAAATCGTTTTCCTTTTGCTCAGTATTTGGCTTCTGCCTTCTTTATTGACACAATCATGAACCAATTAGAGAATCAGACTTTAGTATCAGCTCTTCCCCCTACACAAGAGAATTTCCCTGGGTGTCCAGTTGAGGTCAGGCTGATTCAGTAATTTAAAAGCATTCATACATAGGTGCTGATGAACTGACAAGAACAGGACGTGGAAGCTTCCACTCATGGCGCAGCTGACCCTGGGATTGGGAGCACTGGGTTAGACTCATTTTCCTCTTAGTAATTATCAGATAGGAGTGGGGGTAAGAAACCATCAAGGGATATCATAAAGGAACATTCATTATCCTTCTCTTGGCTATAAAGAGGGTAACTGCCAAATCCTTGAACTAATGATTTATGTAGAATTAGCCCCATCCCCAACGAGTGCTGACTTTCCTCTCTATTTGCAGGCCACCCAGATCCTGTTTGGAATCATGAACTTTTCAATTGGAGTTGTTTTTCTTTTCACCTTGGTAAACCCATACCCAAGGTTTCCTTTTATATTTCTCTCAGGATATCCTTTCTGGGGTGCTGCTTTGGTGAGTATATTGTATTTAGTTCAAGTAAAAGTATGTCAACCAGGCATACTAAAGTAACATACTAAAGTATGTTAGTGAATGGATTCTTAGTTATGAAACAAGATAGATTTGGGTGTGTGAATCTGCAGGAAATGCCACTAAGACATCACCCTTATGTCAATTGAAGCAAGCTCTCTGCTCTATTGAATCACCAGAGTTGATGGTAGCCCATCTTTGGGCCTTGAAATTTGGAGGGAATATTCCTTTAGGTTTTATGGTGGTTTTATAGTCCATTAATCTCATCCAAAGTTACTTGCAACATATGATAAACTATATTCACAGAGCAAGACAATGAGGATCCAAATTTTAGTACAGTGATTATCCTCCAGTAGGCATTAGTCTAATAAGAAAGAAATCATGCCACGAGATCAGCATACTTCTTACATCTATGTGGTGTTGCTTCTGATGCTGATAAGCACTTTACTCTGCAGAAAGTGAAGGAACAGAGACAGCTCCCAAGTGTCTGAACACAAAGAGATGCTTATTTAATAGTGTGCAATCTCTATTAGCTTAGTACCTACTTAGCTTCAGAGAATGGGCAGGGTGTGAGGATTCGGAAGCCAGTCCCCAGTAGCAATTCCTCATAGGGTGTGAGAAATACCAAATGACACAGGACACAGAAGCTGCTTCCAGAGAAAAGGGCAGTGTCTGGAGTCATTTCCAGCTGGACCAAGTCGTAAAGGATGAGGAGTTGCCTAATTAAAGCATCTACAAAAGATGGGAACAGGGGTGTCTAGGTAAAAAGGGAAGAAGTTTTCATTTTCTGTCAGAAGGTCTGGGAGGTCTACTAATGTGTCTGGAGGAAGAGCCATTTCCAGCTGGACTAAGTCTTAAAGGATGAGGTGTTGCCTAATTAAAGCATCTACAAAGGATGGGAACAGGGGTGTCTGAGTAAAAGGGGAAGAGGTTTTCATTTTCTGTCAGAAGATCAGAAGGTCTACTAATGTGTCTGGAGGAAGAGGCAGGAAATTTAAACACAGCCCAGCTGAACTCAGATTTTAAGTTTCTGCTAGACAATGAAGCTGCCATAACTGACCCACGTCCATGAAAATTGGTGTGTGCAGTTTCTTTTTTCTTTCTTTTTCTCAATTATCAGTCTGCTGGCTGAAATTGTGCCTTATGTTTCCATTCAACAGAATAAACTGGTTGAACTATGATAACTATATGGCCTTAGTGCTTATAAACTGTTGACACTAGGCATTTGGAAGCTGAGTCATGATACCAATAACAGATCAACAACAGGAAAATGGATAAGGATATGAAAGTCCAGTAAGGTAGAAACATCCTTTTGTTCAAAGAGGTGGCTCAGACTAAAGATCCAGCCTTTTTTTTCCTTCACTCTGTGAAGTGGTTCACCCTCCTCAATTCCCTGGGGTTTCTGTGAGCTTAAAAGGAAGGCATAGGAAAGAAGTGGTCAGAGCCCTGACCTGAGAGACCCTCAGCATCATCTTATCATGTCCATCATTAGGATATTTATTCTTTATTTTTCTTTTTTGTAGTTCATTAACTCTGGGGCCTTCCTGATTGCTCTGAGAAGAAACACTACAGACACTCTGGTGAGTTCTATGTCTACCTTATTAAAAACTATAATTGTTGAGTAATTTTCCAAAAATCATCATAGAATTAGAAGCCATTCATATTGGTACACTTTTCCAGATTATCATTTCAGAGTCTCATGTTCTACATGAAGATATTGAGGCACAGAACTCTTGAGTGACTCTGTCCTTGGTCCCCAGTTGTTAATGCAGAGTAGGTCTCAGTAATCTAGTCATTCTCTCATTTGTTCTTTTGATGAATATTTTTGGTGCCTACTGGTTGCCAGATGCTTTAACAGGCTATTGCTTGACTCACAGGAAAAGCACACTGTGCACAACCTAATTAAATCACAAGCAGATTCCAGGAGTAAAGAATACATTGCTGATCTATGTATATTTGTAGGAGTAGAGTATTCTATCTTACTCAAAGAAACAAAGACATTAGATAGTAATAAGTCAGTAAGCTATTTGTATCAAAGAACATCCTAAAATTTTGTAATTTTAAAATGTGTTTGCCTTTATTTATTAGCTATGTGTATGTAGGGGATGGGGGAGATACATTTCCATGCACAGTGTACCTGTGAAGATAGCCTTTAGGACTTGGTTCTCTCCTACCATGTGGGTCCTAAGGATAGAATTCAGGTTGTCAGGTGGCAGGTGCCTTTATCTGCTGAACCATCTCATCAGCCCTAAAGTTGGTAATTTTTAGGGAGATATAAAAGTAATGGAGAAATGCAAGGTTTAGTTAAACACAGTCTTTAAATTAGCATTTAAATAGGCCATAGCTACCTCTATTTGAATGGAAGTTAATCCAGGCACAGAATGAGTTGTATATGTGGTAAATATATATGTATATATGGTTTCTTGGCATTGTGAAAATCCATCTCTCCAGTCCTCCACCCCCACTGCTCTGTCTGTGAAACAAGGCAGGCCTAAGTCTTTTATTTTCTGATTCTATTGCAGATAAAAATGAGCCAGGGGATGAATTTACTTAGTGCCCTGGGAGCAGCAACTGGAATCATTCTCCTCATATTTGGCTTCCTTTTAGATGGAGAATTCATTTGTGGCTATTCTCCAGATGGTATGCAGTGTGGTGCTATTACCATTCTATTCGTTGTAAGTATCCTATGCTATTTCTAGAGTGAGAAGCAGATGGTTCGAACAAAAAGGGTATTACCCAGTCAGCACCATCCAGATAGCATTGTAGACACATATGTATTTCCTTTTCCTCATTCAGGAGCCCACTGTATTAGACCAGCATTATATCACACATTGTGGAATAGAACAATAAATGCTCAAAACTTACAAAAGGTATAAAACATGCAAATAACTAAGGATAATATATAAAATGATTCTAAAAGAGAGGCTTAGCAGTGTCCTCATGGTTCATAGTTCCCAGTACATTATAACTGTGTGTGTCTGTGGTTTTTATTTGGTTTTAATATTTAGGTTTGATTTCTGATAAATTATGGTAGATTGAAAAAAGATTTCTGCTTTGTCCAAAGTACTATGATAATTGGTATAAGATGATATGAATAAATATATAACTAAAAAATGATAGTTAAGTAGGCATATTAAATATTGATAACATACAGATGCAGATATTTGCATCCAAGCATTGGATTGAGGTCGGGGACCTCTATGGAAGAGTTAGGAGAAGGACTGAAGGAGCTGAAGGAACTGGCAACCCCATTGGAAGACCAGCAGTGTCAACTAACCTGGATTCCTAAGAGCTCCCGGAGACTAAGCCACCAACCAAAAAGTATACATGGGCTGGTCTGAAGTCCCTGTTTCTTTCCTATTTTTGTCTTTACCATTTTCTTATCTCTTGACATTCTTCTTTGTCCTTCAAGAGACCACTTTTCTGATATGCATTCCTCCATGTAGGCTATACCTATGAAATGGGGAACTTCCTGCATATAATTTAGCAAATATTCTGTTTGTTTTTTCTTAAACAATTTGCTATGCTATGCTATGCTATGCTATGCTATGCTATGCTATGCTACCCTATGCTATGTTATCCTATGCTAGGCTGTGTTATCCTATGCTATGCTATACTATGCTATACTATGCTATGCTATGTTATCCTATGCTATGCTATCCTATGCTATGCTATGCTATGCTATGTTATCCTATGTTATGCTATCCTACACTATGCTATCCTATGCTATGTTATCCTATGCTATGATATGCTATCCTATGCTATGTTGTGCTATCCTATGCTATGTTATCCTATGCTATGCTATGCTATGCTATCCTATGCTATGTTATCCTATGCTATGCTATCATATGCTATACTATGTTATGCTATGCTATGCTATGCTATGCTATGCTATGCTATGCTATGCTA